ATGGATTATGAAACAATTATCTCATTATCATTTTAAGAAAAAAAGTACATATAAAGATATAAATTTTATTATTTTTTATTTAAAAATATGAATTTTATTGATTCGTAAATAAGACATTAATTTTTTAATGTCAATTTTTTATTTTTTATTTTAAAATTAGTTAAATAATAATACTCATATGACCAATAACTTTTTAACTATAGAATTAATCTTTAAATAAAAAAAAATTACTACTTTATTTAAAAAGGAATAAAAACTATATCTTTAAATAAAAATAAAAAAATTTATATTCTTTTCTACCCCCTTTCTCTTATCATTTCGGTTATGGATTCTCAACAAATTAATTGAATCGAATTTTACGAGGAAAGCAGAGATTAATGAGAAAAAAAAAAAATTCAGCTCCATTGAGTGTTCCGTTCAATCAATTCTATCGACAAGTTAAAGTTTCTTAAACCAATCAACTCCCCAAATATCTCTCTAAAAAAAAAAATAATAATAAAATATCAGAATATCCTATGAAGAATCTAAGCATATCGTGTTTCGTGCATTTGTAAATCACCCCATTGCTCGCCTGTAAGCATTATCTCCTCTTCCAATAGTTTCCATATACCCAAACTCCCCTCCCCCACACCACAATTTCTCAAAATTGCAACTCCAGCACAGGAAGCTTTCAATCTCCTTTACCCAATTTTCGTTACCATGGAAAATCAGGCTTTCTTCAATCCAACTCTCCCTTCCTTTTTCTCCATCTTTCTCACCGTTTATTTCCTCGGTTATTTCATTGTTTTCCGAAATTGGAACCCAAAGCACCGCGCCGAAGCCACCAGCTGCTTCATGTCTCTGTTCCACGGCACCCCTGCAGCTGTACTGGCCACCACCGCCATAATCCAAACCCAATCCTCTTCTTTCGCTTCTCCAAATTCTCCCTTCCAAAACACCGTACTGGATTACAGCATCGCTTACTTCTTCATGGACCTTCTCCACTACCTTCTCCTCATCCCCTCCGACGTTCTCTTCATCCTCCACCATCTCGCCACGCTCTACGTCTTCCTCACCTGTCGTTTCGTGGTTCAACACGGAGCCTTTGCGCTTCTCGGACTGCTCGTTCTCGCCGAGATCACCAGTCCTTGTCAGAACGTGTGGAGCCTCGCTGGATTCCGACGGCAGGAAGTTCCGGCGGCTGGGAAGCTGTATGAGTCTTTGTCTCCGCCGTTCTTCACGTTTTACTCCTTTGTTAGAGGGATTCTGGGTCCTCTGTTTGTCTACAAGATGGGAAGGTTCTACGGAAGTGGGCTAGCTAATGGGCTGATTCCAGTATGGGCTTGGGTTTCTTGGATGGTTGTGATTGTGGCAGCAATCTTGGTTAGCATTTTGTGGGTTTGGAATCACTGGGTTCATTGGTATAAAAGAAGAAATTATAAAGCTCCCAAGAAAGTCATGTAGCATGGCATTTCTAGGAAATCTCAGAGTTCCACACTTCTAGTGTATAATCATACTCCGGGATTGGGTTGTATATATATGGAAAATGCTATCATTACAATATCACATGATATTGTGAGTTTACCTTCATTTAAAAATCACCTGTCATATTTTATACATTTATTTATTTGTTTTAAATCAAGTTGATATTATAAATATGGTACCCTATAAATATGTGCATGGTTTTCAATTGGAGATGGCGGGCTGTCAGTTTGGACTGGCAAAAAATGTCTGTGACTAGCCCCACGTTGACTTCTCAGTATTCACCTTTGCATTTACATTGGAAGTTGTATTTTGATATTTATCTTTTTATATCTAATAATCATATTAAGTTATAATTAATTTGAAATCAAATTGGGCTGAATTTTAAGTTTGTTTAGTATAACTTGTGAGAACTTTTGCTTTTTGAGTAATGTTATGAGTATTAAGTTTAAATTTTTATTAAAGGAAAAATAAAACTTTTGATTTTAGAAATATGAAAAAATGAGTAAAAAGTGAATAAAAAAAATTTTATGAAAATTTTGAATTTAAAACTTTTGAACTTTTATTGTTTAAAAACTTTTTGATATTAAAAAAATATTTAAAAATGTAAGTTTTTAAGAGAAAAATTTAAATTCATGAAACATAAATAGTATCTAAAAGTTGAAACTCCTAAAAGCTGATCCAAACAAGCCTTTTGTTTGGAAAAAAACTCTTTCAATACCTATTTTTCCATTTACAAAACACAAATTTAAAATTTTATTTAAAGAAAATCGAATTCTTTTCACTCGAACCATTAAGTTGCTGTTAAATCTAGAAGTTGTGGTTGTTTACCAAATTGTAAGAATCTTTTCTTATAAAATTGAGTAACGGTCTTTCTGCTGTATTTTCATTATCCCTTCACTTTACTACGGATAAAAACTTGTTTCCCCATTGTATTACTTCAGGTACATTACAC